GCTATTTGGAGGACTTATTAATCATCGTTTTAAGTCTGTTTCTAGTTTTAGAGAAAACAGAGCAAAGGAAAGGAATGTGTTTAATAATAAAAGTTTTTCATTTCACTAAGAACATTTCAATTGATGAAATTGAATTTTTCCAATAGCTGTACAGCAGTGAAAACATTTTGCTCTGGCGATATTAAAGAAGGAAAGAAAAGAAAAGGAAACAGAAATTAGGAATGGAGAACATGTTTTAATATTAGGTTTGAATTAGGTTACCCTTGAAGATCCAGTTATGTATATACCTAAGAAATGGAAAAGAGGTTTGTGCCCTGACCGGACAAACAGTAGAGTAAATAATAGAGTGAATGAAAAGCTGGAACAGAAAAATAGAATATGGCATGATCTATAAGAAAAATTTAACTTTTGCTCCTAACAAATAGTGCATCCATTGATAGCATTTCTTAATAACGTAATTCTTTAATATAGCTTCTAAGACCAAATATTCATATGTAGATTATATGAATCAGCTTTCTAAGAAGACTTCATTTTAGAAAAATTTTCAGATTTGAATGAAGAAAAATTGATTTGAAAGTGATTCAGGGCCAGGCATGGTGGTTCATGCCTGTAATCCCAGCACTTTGGAGGCCAAGGCAGGCAGATTGCTTGACCTCAGGAATTTGACCCCATCTCTACAAAAAAAAAAAAAATGCAAAAATTAACCGGGTATGTGGCATGCACCTGTAGTCCCAGCTACCTGGGGGCTGAGGTGGGAGAATCACTTGATCCCAGGAGGTGGAGGTGGCAGTAAGCCAAGATCATGCCATTGCACTTCAGCCTGGGCAATAGAGTCAGATCCTGTCCAAAAAAAAAAAAAAGAAAAGAAAAGAAAAAGAAAGTGATTCAAATACAGAATTTAAGTTTATAGGGAGAAAACTTTTCCAGTGATATTATCAATGCCTCCTCAATCACAATGCTCTCTTTCGTCTCTATGAACATGGAACTTAATATCATACTTACTAAGTGCAAAGCATTTACACTTAAAAAGGAATTCAATAATTACTATCCATAAATAGTAGGTAAAGGTCTATTTCTAAACTACTGGCAGAAGCTGGGAAACAGACTCTTGATTACTATCCCAGGGAGTGAAATGAAGTACCTCAGTATAAAAAGTCAAGTGTGAGGTTCCAGATGCCTCTGGTTTCAGACCAAAAAAAAAGAAAGAAAGAAAGAAAACCTTGTACCTGGAAGTCAGATATATCTGGGTTTCATGCTGGCTGGCTCTTTCAGTTTCATGCACTAGCTGTTTAGCCTTGGGCAAGTTACTCACCTTCCCCCAACCTGGGTTTCTCCATCTATAAAACGGAATTCATAATACTTAGCTACAAAGGCTCATTAGCATTAAATGAAGGGACATATCTGAAAGTTCTGCTGCTTTCCCTGACACAGTAGACAATCAAGAAATGACACGAGATAGAATAACTTTGCAATGGTGTGCTGCACTGTAAATAGCTTTTCCTGTTGAAATGAAGCATGTTCTATGTGAGAAGAATGTTTTCTCAGAAGATAGGGTATTATTTAACCTGCTGCTTCTGTCAGTTTGGCAAAATTTAAGCTTACAAGTTGTACAGGAATGTCTGTTCATTGCTGATCCGCCTATTGCATATTTTCAAGGCCATTCTGATATGAATTTAAACTAGAAATGCGGACTTGACTGAAATTTCACTTCTGGCTTATTCCAGTCCTCTAGACAGACCCAGTGTTTAGTTTAACATCAGAGAAGAGTTTGGGATATGCCCATATGATAAACCATTGTTTTTGGTTTTCATCTCAGTTTTAAAATATGACATTAACTGAACTTAAATAGCTACTGGCTTTTTCACTTGACCTCTCACTTTTCATGATCATCACATTCGCTTTATCCTAAAAATACATGAAGTAGTTTATTAGTGTGATTCAAAGTTCCTAGAAAATATTTGTTGCATTCTCCGGCTGGAATAAGAAAAGTTTCTGTGCAAATGTAGCCTATGTATGTGTATGTGTCTCTGTTAAGGAAACTTGAATTGAAATATAAAATTATCTAGCATTTTCTTTTCCTGGTATTTATGTGACACACAGTTTGGATAGATGCAGAAAACTGATGTCATGCACCTGAATCTGCCCTAGCTAGGAACTGAAAGGAAATAACTTCCTTAAACCTGATAGTACACAGAATGTGGAAAAAATCCCTCAATGATCCCATTTTGAACACAGTTTCCTGCCCGACATTTAATTCTGTTTGCAAATGGAATTATTAAGGTTTAAAATATGTAATTTAAGGGAAGTGGAAGAGCTGGTTGGTCTGTTGTCTCCCAATGCATTAAAAATATCCTATTTGCAAGGAATCTTGGAGGAGCCTGCAAATTACAAGGCTGGTGAGAACCACTGTTGAAAAATACTGTGCTGCTCAAAAAAAAAAAAAAAAAGAAAAATACTGTGCTGGATCTTCATGTGATGTTTAAGACAATTACTGGAGGTAACTACTACCCACATTGCTTTCAGAATCGTTTCTGAAGATCAGCTAAAAATGGTGTTAACTATAAGAGACTCAATCTGTCAAAATGTATTAAAGTGACATACCGTTAATGCTAGTTCAACCTAAAAAAAATCAGCCTGTAATGAAATGCTTTATATAAACTCAGGAAAGCTGGAAAATTCACAGTTCTCTACTAAATTAGCCAGTATTTGAGACCCATGGTGGTGTGCAGTAGAAATGGTAATTGGACTCTCTGCAGTGGCTTAGTAATGTACCCTTAATACTTACCCAAGGATGTGTTTGCTTTTGTGAATATGTCTAAGGAGCCTAGAAATGACTCTTCTCCAAAAAGGGGGAAGGATTTGGAAGAAGCAGGTGAGGACAAAGAGAAGAGAAATGTATTTTCCTGCTTACTTCCCAAGATTTCTCCCCACCTCATAGAAACATAGACATACACACATACACACACAATTTGAACTGAGGCATGTCTATAAAGAGCATTTTTTAAGTGATTTTTTTAAAAATGAGAGCAGCAAACACTGAACCCAGTGCCCCTATCCTCACATTAGGAATAGTCAGAACCTGCATCCTTAAGCTTTAAGTCTTTAGTTCAGAAGAAAATGCTGGATTATGTTGACATACAAACGAAGGCCAGAACCAGATGAAAGTGCCTGCAATACTTTATATCCTTCTAAAACTTGATAATGAAGCACCATCAGACTTTACAAGGGTCAAATTGAGAAAAAATTAAAGCTAGCATGCTGTCCCGATGATTTATTATTTGATCAAATTCACAGCTTTTATCTGATCAACTTATTAGAGCCCGTTGAGAGGCATTTCTCATCGAAGAGCTCTTAAATGTTAAGAATGTGATGGAGAATACTTTGTCTTTATCCCATGTGGAAGTCAGAAATAAAATGGCATCTTCTTCAGCAGCAGAAACTTCATGACCCAAGGGTCTTTGTGTCACAGTTCTCAAATCATAGATGGCTCTATACCTACACAGATGGGATGGATGATCATTCAGAAAATGCTATTTGAAGAGTGATTTAACACCTCAGAATAGCTTCTGCTACCCATCTTGACTCCATCCTCCCTCCTTCCTGCCTTGAAAGTTCCTCCATTAAGAAGGAACTTGGTTTTTACATATTTGTGATTAAATATATTGCCTGGGTGAATTTTCTGACCTTCATTGCAAGTACGGACTGGTTTATCAGATTATCTAGTTAACATTTGTGGTTATGATTGGCAACATATAGTTAAATTTCATTAAATAAAGAGAATACATGTGAAATTTGTATCATCATTACCATTTTGACCTCCTTACAACTGTGCTAAAGTATGCCTATTACCTGGCTCTGATTTCTATTTCCATCTTCTCTTCTATTCTTCCTTTCATGTTTCATTCATTGGCTTTCTGACTATTCCCTGGAAACACCTCACATGTTCCCACACCTGTGCCTTTGCTCATTCTTTTCCCAAGGCCCTCACAAATGTTGCATTCTTGATAATTTGTCCATTGGTAGATGAGATCCCTTGAGACAGCTGTACACAGTAAATATTTTGGCCTCGATGAGCAATTACGAGCCATGAGTGGTTCTTGAATTGTAATGTGCATAAGAAGTACTGGGAGTGCTTGCCAGTGATGGAGATTGTGTAGCCCCATCTCAAAGATTCTTATTTGATAGTTCTTTGTGGGCCCAGAATATGCATTGTTAATATGCATTGTCCACCAGGTAATTCCAATGCAGGTTATTTCACAACCACTTTAAGAAACGCTAAGAATATCTCTCCTTTACTTGTTAAATTTCTGGCAAAAGTCTTACAAGAAAACATTTTTTCAAAAATATTATTTTATCATTAATTTCTGGAAATTCCATTTCAGAAACATTAGAACGCAGGCAGTCTTGCCCCCTACCTTCTGAGCTGGGTTGAAAGTATTTGGATGAAAGATAGTTTAATGTGAGTTAATAAAATTGCTATTAATCACTTATTGAGAAGATGCAGGAATCCCAAGAACATGCTATAATCTGCATCACTTTTGTACTGCCTCTGCCAGCTCTGTAGTTAAAGGGTAACAAAACAACTGTTTATGAAAAGGGTAGGTTTAAGATGAAAATAATTCTTTTGGAAAACTCAGGAAACATTATCAGAGCCCGTGGACTGTGCTCTTCCAACTGGAGAATCCTGTATTTGTAATAAATTCCTTTTGCTCTGGATGAGTTCTGCATTTTCAATGAGGTTAACTTGGCAACATTCTAGTTGATTTTAATAAAAATAGCTGCTTTGAGGACAGGGAGCTGAGGTTGCCAAATTTACAGCTGCCTTGCACAATTACTCTTACACCTCCTTCAGGGCTACTTAGAACCAGTAAGCAAATTAAGTGTATCGATTGCAATTTTGTTGGACTAACCCTGCTTTTTTTTTTTTTTTTTTTTTTTTAAGGAATAAACTTGATTCCTTTTAGTATGTGTCTGTTCAGAGTGATCTCTTTTCTTTTCAGCCATAACACGAAGACAACATCATGGCTGGATCCACGACTTGCGAAAAAGGCTAAACCTCCAGAAGAGTGCAAAGAAAATGGTAGGTTATGAAGTTTTTATGGTGTTCAGCAATGTGCTTTGAGAATGTTTGTGTTTCTTCAGTGAGAGTCTCACCTGAAGAGGCAGTCATCTAGCTGAAACAATTTTAACGATGTAATGTTTAATGCTCAGAGAAGAGAGAGAATTCACTCGGCATTTCAGCAGGGCCATGTGGTTTTGCTTTTTCTCTCCGAGGAGGCTGTGCTGAATATCACATCTCTGTCATCTCTGTTGGTTCTGTCTGACTCCTGGCCTGACTTTCCACTACCTACTAAGGACTTTTTGTTAGCAATATGTCGCTCTGAGGACTCTGGTCTTTTAATTGGGGTCAGATATGATGCATAAGAGAAACAGTTTGTGGCACTATAATATTTGAGTTTGTTTTCAAAGGCATAGCATTCTAGCAATTATTAAGGACTCAATAATATAAAGAAATGCTTTCCTTGAATCAAGCATTTAAATAAAATAACCAGTTGCCTGAATGTCTTAGATTAGCCTTAGTATTTTCCAGTTCTCAATGTTCTAATATTGACCTGCTTTAAAATAGACTGTTTTCATGCATGTGAAGAATTTTTTAAAAATAATTTTGAGGACTAGATAAATGTAAACCTTGTTTTTTAAATTCATAAATTATATGGGTGAAGTCTGTTACTGATGATACTTGTAATTTTTTTAAAATATTGAGTTTAAAGGAGCACATATAGTTTAAGATGATCAATAGCATACTCTCTAATGATTTATTATATGACCACATTCACATTCTTTATGTGATTAAATTATTAGAGCTCTGTTCAGAGGTTTCTGTCATTGAGGAGCTCTTAAAGGTGAAGAAAACAGCAGAGAATATTTGAACTTTAAACAAAGTTTTTAAAAAGTTAACTTTTAAAAAAGTGTCTAATTCTAAAATGCCTTTCTTTTCAAGCATAATTCTGACTTTCTCAGATACTATCCAAGTGACATTGTGCATTCCTATATTATAAGGTAACTGTTCACAGGCTAGGGACTGAGTTAAATTAAAAATTAGAGATTGTAATTTATATGAACATATATAAATGTACAAATATCCAGTTTTAGTTTATATTTAATTTTGTATTCATAACCACATCTGTACCTTTCTGTGTAATAGTACAACTGTATGCAGTTGAATCCCATACAATTATTGTATGACCTGAACTTGTAAGCATGATTGGATTATATTTCATTGACACTAATGAAACATGTGTTACAAAATGTGATAGTCTGAAAATTAACATAACCTGTTCTAACTGGGAGTTATGAGTTACTTATGCCACAGTTGTAAAACCTTAGTAAATCCTAATTAAAGTGAATTTAACAATTTTGCAGTTCTGTGACATATTGAACTTCTCAGCTGTCTTGCACCTTTGAGTTGTGCTTTTTATTATAAAAAGCTACTAAAATCAAATTTTAAAATCCTGAGAGAGATGCAAGCATAACATATTGCATAATTATAACATTTCAGCATTGTTTTTCCCACATCTGTGCTTATCAGACTTCACAAGATGGTAGATGCCTACAATATGATGCTGGTGTCCTCTGAACCAAATGTCATTGAGAAACAAGTTCTAGAATTCAGTTTATAGATCAGGATGATTTGTAACTTCGTCAACTGCTGTTTGTTTTCATTTACTACAAAATAAATAATTCACATATTTATATTATTGGACCATTTTTACAGTGGAAACTAACATCTACTTTGTTAGAATGTTATTATTCTGGACACCTATTTTAAGTTTTCTTGCCAAGAGAAGTGCTTTTAGGTAACATTGTTACCTATGTTTTACTTTTCTTTAAATGACATAGATTAGTATTACTTAATAACAACACTAGATGTTAATGGATTGCTATTGAACTTGCCAGCTAAGTCATGATTCTTCATATGTATCACACTTCAGCTCAGAGAAAAGTTAATACAGTAATTTTCTGAATGCAGGAATAGATATATAAAATGTGTATTAAAAAATGTAGAGGCTCCAATGATGATATATTTTTCCAGCAAAGATTTGCCGTTCCTCTGCTAGGCAGATAGAGTGAAAGCTAATTACCCTAATCCAAACCAGAACTGAGCCAGCGTGAGGTTGGGTTGAGTTTGCACTGTTCTTTGAGTGTTTGGCCACCAGAGTTTTCAACTAACAGCCTAGTGCAGGTTGGCAAACATTTTCTGTCAAGGGCCAGGTAATAAAGACTTTAGGTTTTGCAGGTCATTCAGTTTCTTTGCACTCATTGTACAAAAGCAGCATATGTCAATATATAAAGGTCATGCATGTGTTCTGATAAGGATTTATGTATGGACATCAGAATTTGAGTTTTGGATACTTTCTTTGTACTTTCTTATTCTTTTTCTTTCTTTATTTTTTTTAACCAGAGGAAGCAGCTTTTATTGATGGGTTGTCTCCTGAAACCAGAAAGACTATGTACTCTATTCCAGTTACCCCCATGCCTCCAGGACCACATATTGTTCCACTTGGGGGGAGGATAAAAATTGCCTCTTGATTTTCCAAAGACCAGTCTTTCGCTTCCCTGTGCAGCCTTAGAAACCCAGTAGCAATACTGCTTGGTGTGTGGGCTTTTTTTCCCCTCTCCTCCTGCTGCAGCTACTTAGTGACAACTAGAGGTAGAGGGTGTCCCAGGAAGCAGTTAGATGAGTTAAGTGTGATACACAGGAAAACAGGACCGAAGCCTATCAAAAGTCCCTCTGCCCTGCCTCAGTGGCTTGGTCCTTCATTGGTTGCATTTCTCTTTGTGCTGGAATACCCCCTTCTGAATCAGATCAGGGATTTCCACTGCCAGCCATGGACCCAGCCCCAGAGCCATGGGATGGGCTAGTTCAAATTTGGGTATGTTCCTGGCCCACAAAGATTTGAAATGATCCATCAGGCATATTTTGCCACCTCTGTACATCTTTGCTGTCTTTCCATCCAGCTCGGGGACTGCAATTTCTGGGGCAGTAGTAAGATATGTGAGAAGAATTTCAAACTCGTTGTCAAAATCACATTTCAGGAGGTCATGGATATACCAACACTTTCCAAACCACCGAGTCGCTACCTTGTTGGACTCCAGTTGGAACCATCATTGTTGGCGTTCTTGTTGTTCTCCACATACCAGATAAGGGACTGATACTCCTTCTTCAGTCGCTGCACCCACAACTCCCAATCTTGGGGTCCTGCATTAGTCTTCAGTGCCAAAATCTCAGACAGAACACGTCAGGTGGCCTCGTCTGCCATCTTGGGCCAGGGCGAGTTTTATATACTTTCACATAACAAAATATTATTCTTCTTTTGATTTTTCCTCAACTATTCGAAAATGTGTAAACTATTCTTAGCCCATGGGCCACACAAAAATTGGGGCGGGCTGAATTTGATCCACAGGACAAACCGTAATCTACCATGTTTGTGTGGGACTCTACTCTTGGCAGGTCTTGAACACCAATATTTTTAAATATTTTTTTTCTCAGGATTGCCAGTCTCCCAAAAATCTGAGGTGTTTTTCAGGGGATTTAGCGTAACTCTTTTGCTTCTAGATCCTACAGCTCCAGAACTGACAAATGTCAGGAGATAACTGACTGACTGTTTGAAATCTCTCACATCTATATTTGTCACTCCAGTGCCTCAAGAGTCCTCACTCTTCTGGTTTCTTTAATGTCCAGCAGTGGCGTTTTCCCCAGGCCGAGTCTATACTGTTCTAAGAGCCCAGATTCAACAAAAAGCAGCTGCAAATTCTTCCTTCACCTCTCCAGGGTTCCCTTTTGAGAATCATGTTGCTTCAGCTAGTTTCTGATTTCTTTCAGCTGCTTATTTTTTTACATTTTATCTAGACTTTCTATTTTCTCATGTCTAATAAGCTACTCACTCCATCCTATCTGGTAGCAGAAATTTTAGTGCAGTAATTTTAAAATTGTACATTTTGGATGTTACTGGGCTGGATGTCATAAAATCTTTACTGTTATCCTAATTTACATTTTAATAACTGAAGATTATATATTATTTTGTCATATATGTATGTTCAGTATGTATGAATGTATAGAGGTATGTAGTGTATGTAGATATGTATCTGGAAATGTTTGCATCTTCAGATCTGTTTACATAAATGAGTAAAGTTAATTCCTAGTCCAATTAATATAAGAGGAATAAAAGTAAAAGAGAGATGAGAGGGGATGCTAACTAGACTAGAGAAAAAACTAACAAAAGTGTTCTCATTGGTATTAAGGAGAAATGGGACATGGATGGCTCAGAACAAATACATATTAAACAAGCACTTAGTCTGCTGACAGTAAAGCAATCATTTTGCCTTTTTACTTAAAGGATAATACTGCTACTAAATGTGAAAACATACTTCCTTCTCTCACAATAGGGTTGGAAATACTGAAGTCATTATGTTCTGTGCATTTGTCATAGCTCTGTACACTTTTGGAGTTTTAGCAGCAGTCTACATGGCAGAAAAAACGTCTCCACCTACTACTGGATTCTAATATTAGTATTTGGGGGAGTGCTGTTTAGCAAGCCAATATAGTCTTTTTCAAAATGCCACAGAAATAGCAGTTAACCACTGAATAACTTGGATGCAAGATTGGTTAAAGTGTGTGTAAAACCCCATCATATTTCTGCCCTCAGAGTCAGTAATATGGTATCCTTCTCAGACATTTTCAATCACAAGCATTTCTGTGCTGACATCCCATGACCGTTGCTGGGTTAGAATCCATTTCAAAAGTGAAGTAAGCCTTGTAGGACCACCCACTAGGATCACACTATAATGTGCAGGAGAAGAAATTGTTTAAGATTTGGAGTCAGGAAAAACTGTTCCAAACCCAAATCTGTGGGTTCTTGGGCAAGGTACTTAATCTCTGGGAGCCTAGATTTTCTTACCTGTAAAATGGGAGTTCTACTTCTTTCATGCAGATTTACCTTCACATGTTGGAAGCACCATGATTGTAGCACCATCAATTCTAAATAACTGATCATTTTCTTTCCTTCAGATAATACTCTG